AATGGCTTCTGTAACTGTTTAGAAAATATGAAAAGCGCTTGTTTTCTGTGTGCTCGCCGAGAAATGTCGGTGAGACGGAGATATGGATCATACGCCGTGGCAAAGTGGGCAATGCTCGCAAGTGAAGGGGCATGCCACGCGCGGTCGGCCGCAGTTGCTCCGTAAGAGGGAGCTGCTGGTGGTGCCCTTGTTGGTGAGATGTGGGCTAGCCGGTGTGGGTGTCCCGGGAGCGGGAGCGATCCCTGGCATGATTGTGGTTGTTGTGGGTGTTGTGGTGGGATTGGTTGCGTTCTGGAGGTGGATTGATGAATGCAGCTGGGCCAGTCCAGTGGTGGAGAAAGCGGAGAGCGTCTTCTGGTGGTGTACCTGGGCGTGGGGAGGAAGAGTGGTCGGATGGTGTCGATGGCAAAATGGGATTGGGTGGAGAAGCTTGAAGAGTGGCTGAAGTCTCTGGTGGAATGCGTGCGGAGGGATCAATGCGATATTGTCCCGGAAGGCTAGGTTGTCCGGGAACGAATTGGAGCAGTCGTCGGGCTGTGGCGAGGCTGTCGACAAGGCGGTCCAGCAGCATGGTGTCTCGTCTGTATTGGTAAAGTATGTTGTAGGCTCGGTCATCTGTGAAGTATGTTTGGTTTGGCATAGGTTCTGTGTGGAGTGGGCGGCGTCGGATGTGTTGGACGATCAGGAACAGGATGTCGAGCATACATTTGAGTGAATGGAGATCTGGCTGATGAGTAATGGAAGGTTCAAGGTAAATGGGAGGTCGTCCTGGAAGGTAGTAGTTGCCAGCAGCGGTGGCTGCAGGGCGATCGCGGGAGGAGGCCATGCATGTGTGAGGGTAAAGAAAGGCTCGAAGTCACGTAAAATGCTGCGGGACTGTGGTGAGCCCATCGGGAAAACTAAGGCATAAGGCGTGAGGTCATGTGTGCCGAATGCAACAGTAACTGCTTGTGGACTTGGCGTTCCGAATTCAAAAGCAAGCTGACATGAGATTGAATCAAAAGACATACAGTGGTGGCATGCTAGTTAGTCAAAGAAATTGTGTCAAGAGGCGTGCTGCTGAATTTGTCCGATGGCACGCCGTGGAGAAATGGGTGAAACTGATCAAATAAAGTAACTGCCAATAGGCGGTTCCGAAGGTGATTCCGGATGCCTGTTCTCACTGGGCGCTCGCACAGCAGCCGTCTGCGGTGGCAAAGCTTCATGTGTGGATGATGGGGTTGCTGTTGGTGAGGCGGAGAAGTCGGGTTGTGATTGCTGTGGCGGTGTGTTCGCTGGTGATGTGGGAGTTGGTGAGATGGGGTTCGGAGTGGAAGGTAAAGGTGGTGGTGGTGTTGTGGGTAGTGGAGTAGGCTCAAGCGGTTGAGCGTCTTGCAGTCTTTGTAGGTCTTGAAGCTCTTTCCATCGAGCTTTGCATTGCTCGATGGAGAATCCGACCCGTCGAGCAACAAAGGCCCCAGTTGGGTCGGAGCCTGGGATTGGTTTTGAGGTCCACGAGGCGGCACTCAGCGTCGCCATCCCAAGCATCCCACGCAATCTGCATGTGGATCGAGTGGAGGTGGTGGTGGCTGTTTGCGCTTGCGGGCAGGTGTGTGCTTGGGTGAAGGAGTGGGAGAAGGTGTGTCGGAGTTAACTGATGGCGGAGGTGGGTTGCGAACTCGTGGAATAGGTGGTGGTGAGTCGCAGGAGGAAGTGGGTGGTTGATGGAGCGTGTTGGCGGTGGTGGCAAGGTTCTGTGGAAGGTAGGATCCGCCTGTCCAATGTGGTGTAGAAAACGTGTGTGAAGATCTGCCATAATGTTTGTGGCTTGCCGGAGGAGGTGTTGGATCTGAGAAAGGGCCACTGTCGTTTGCTGTAGTAGTGCGGTAGTATCTTCACGAGGATGTGAGCCTGTGGTGGTCATATGTTGAAAGTGTGAGTGTGATGCTGATGAGGAGTTCACTGGGTACGGGTCGTAGTTTGTAGCAGCAGCGCAGCGGCGCGGCGGCGCGGCAGCTGGGCAGCGGTGGCGCAGCATCACGAGAACGTGCATATGAATTAAGCACAAAGACCGGGCCGAAAAATCATGCCGAAATGAATTCACGATCAGCATCAAAAAAGTGTGAGTTGAACTCAAGAAAGTCAAAGTTTCATTTAGAGACAACAAAGGTTGAAAGGTCGAATGACATGTAAGAGCTGAAATCGGAAGCATCTGCACGAGTGTCAGCGCTGCGGAGGGTGTGTGGTTGAGTGAAACCGAAGGTTGTAGGCGGTTGTCGGGTGGGTGTTGAGTGGTGGGTTGTCACAGGTCTGGTGGGGTAGCGTTGACCGACCGTGCTAATCCCTTTGACAATAGCATGGTCAGGGTGGATGACCCAGCTTCTGCCCTTCTGGTGGAAGACAGCGCCGTGGTTGTCGTGTAAAAGGGTCATGGCATGTTCTTCGCCGCCCGAAGTGAATTTTGTGGCGGCGCCCCAGGCCAGGAGTGTGATGACGAGGGAGTGGGTGTTTTTGTGGAGTTGCCATGATGCGAGCAGATTCGCCGTGGTCGTGTTGTGGGTTGTGAGCAATGCGGACCCCCTGGGCAAAAAAGCCAGGGTAGTTTGGGAAGTGAAGTGTGCTGGGGAGGAAACGGCCTTGTCGTAGGATGTTGGATGTTGCCGACAGGGCCGGTGTGGCAGGCGTTGATGTGTGCAACTTCCCTGTCTGTGGACGTGGCGCGGGAAACTGGTGGCGGTGAGGGTTGGGTGGCTTTGGTGTTGAGGTATGGGAGTGAAATGGCATTGTACTGGAATTGATCGTATTGCTGGGTGGTGTCATTCCACTTGGCGTAGGTGTATTGCCTGAAGTCGGAGATGTCTTTGTATGTGATGTTGCTGTCGTGGAGAAGGTTGGCAATGTAGTGGTGTTGAGGTCGATTGGGGGTATCCAGCTGGTCGGCATGGAAGTCGAGCCAAGTGACAAGTTGCTGTTGGGGAGGTAATTGTTGAAAGTGTGAGGTGGGTCGCCAAAAATTGGGCGGTCGACGATGGACCGGTGTGAGTGGATATTCTGTGGCGGAGGTGTTGAGATTGTCGGCGTTGGAAGTAGCCGTGTTGGGTCGTAGGTCAAGAGGTTGTCTGGAGCGACTGCGTGAGGGAGTGGAAGAGTATGAGTAGGTGGATGTGGAGGGCGAGCGGTGTCGCCTGGAGGAGCTTTTGTGTTTGGTAGTCCTGGAGTGCTTTCGGTGTGTGCGTCGACGGCGACGCCCGTGGCGACCGTGTCTGTGATGATCGGTCTTGCGGCGGCCCTGGTGGTGGCGGTGCCGAGTAGTGTGTGGTTGATGAGATGATGGTTGTGCTGGTGAAGCTGTATTGGTTGCTGCCCCGGCGGCGGGGTCCGGGTTCACCGTAGTCGGTGGTGCCGGTGTAGTGGCTGGTGATGGAGAGGGTTGTGAGACGGTGACTGGAGTGTTGGGAGGGGTTCGCGGGATCCTGCGGTGTAGGATCTTGGGGTGGTGGCTGTTCTTGTGGTGCGTCGCTGATTGCCTGTTGGGGCTGTGATGAAGGGTGTGGTGACAGCGGTGTCACTGGTGGGAAGACTGAATAAGGTTGCCATACCCCTTGTGGTGTGTGCCATTGGGGTTCTGCTGATGTGGAGGCTGGAGTGACCTGCTGAGGGGTGGGATGTGGCTGCATTACGGAAGCTGTGGTGGGGTGGGCAGGTGGTGGGTGTTGTAGTTGTTGAACGATGTAGGATGCTGGAAATGCTTGTGGATGAGGTGTGGCCTGTGGCGGTATCTGATGTGGGTGAGGGGAATGTACGAGGGTCCACATAGAGTGAGGTCCATAGGGTAATACAGTTGGTTGTGCTGCAAATGCTGGCTGTTGTGGAGCTGGAAGTGTTGGTTGTGGTGGAACTGCAAATGGTTGGTGTTGTGGAACTTGGAGTGTTGGTGGTGTGTGCGGATGTGGTGGATGAGGTGCCGGTTGTGTTGGCGGAGTGGGTAGTGGCAGTGGTGCTGTGTGGGAGTAAGGCCAAGGATACTGCATCGTGTGGGAAATGGAAGACTGTCCCGAACTCGTAGTATCTGCTTCACAATGGCAGCGGCGCGGCGCGGCGGCGAGGATAGCAGCTGATGCAGTCGTGCAAAGTGAGATGGTAAATATGGTCGAAATGTGAAAATGTAGCGCAAAAGCGGTAGTTGTGGAAGTTGTGAAAGTGTGGAAGGTGGTAAGTCTATGCAACTCGAATTAAGCGGTCGGAATGAATCAAATCGCTCAGCTTGAGGAAGAAAACCATGAAAAGCAAAGTTCAAAGCTGATACAAAACCGATGCAGGGTGGAATCTGTTGATATCTCCTTTTTTGGCCCGGCGGCCGTGGAGGCAGTAAATTCAGTTAAGGTTGATCCAGTGGTGGATTCCGGTGAAGGTGGAAAAGCTCAGTTACACGATTTCCGGAGTGAATTCAGCGCCCCAGTGACGGGGATCACACTCAGCACCGGTGTGGGACGGCTGAGTGAAACACACTCTGACATTGGTTTTCAGTTACACTCAATTTCCCGATGGGAAGAAAGGCGAAGAACCGCAAGGTGGAAAAGTCAGCTGGAACAGTATGGTTGAACATGGTTTCCAATCGCTCTCAAGACGCGGCTGCAAAGCGGTGCAAGGCTGCGGACGGCTGCTGTAAGAAACCTGTTTGGGGGGGGGGAGTATCATGAAGGACCATGAAACAAAAAGCGAGAGTGGACAGCTTGTCAACAGTTGAAAAGGAAAGCAGGTACGTGAACCTGGCGTCCCAGGTTCATATCCTCTCCAATCATCAGTAGCTTCGTTGGCCACAGACTGATGAAAGGAGCTGTGGCCCCCTGCCTCGTTGAGTGGTTGTAGTGAAAAACAGTGGCATGGAACCCTTAGGTACAGGGGGTGACACACACATACACACACATATATATGTATGCCATACCCCCAGCACTGAAGTTGCAACTAGAATAGGCCTCCCGGTGAGCCCCCTTTGAAAAGATATCCTCTTTCCAAGAAGCCAGTTCAATGTCAAACTCCTTCTCCTCGAAGAAAGCCCGTTCCAGGAAGATATCTAGGAGCAAGAGAACTCCGCCCAAGGGAGGCATCAAGGCTGCAAACCACGGCCATGCCACGTTGATCACACGAAAGATTGGCTTCAAGCATTCGCTGCGGTCGTGGTTGGAACGAAAGGCCAAGTTAAAGGCGATGATGGCAGCAAACAGCACCAAACTCAGGGGGAAGGAACTATCAGCCATCGTAGTGTGTAGGTTGGCAGTCACTCAAGTGAAACTGCTGGAGCATGCTTGCACATCTTGCCAACTTGCTACTTGACTTGCAGGCATCTCGGGAGTGTCAAATATGATGTTCATGGCATAGTTGCAGAGCGAAACGAAGGAATAAACAAGTGAACTTTGCTCCCAAGTAACAAGGATCAGCCCATGTTTCTGATTCTGCTACGAAGCTACAGGACCAGCCTCGGAAGAACTCTCCAGCAAAAGACCTTACAAGGGATATCTGGCATCCGTCGCACATGCCCACTATGGCCCAAAAGCACCGCGCCCAGCATCACCTGCAAACACCATATTAAGCAGGGCTGATGCGGTTGAACCTAATTAATAGCGATAATAGTAATGGCCTCCAAACAAGTACAACCAAATAGCGATGGCCTCCAACCTAAGGTCCTTTGAGTTGTCTTTCACCCCCCAAATTCAACACAAACCAGTCAGTCGCCCGTGAGGACATTGATGAGAAACGGATGATGAGGGGCCCAATCCCCCCATGAATGAGTAATAGCTCAGCTCAGAGGACCTGTAGTTTTTCAATACCCGCCCAACGCGTACAATTGATATGTTCATAATTGCTCATAGCATCAAAAGAGTGCAGGCAGATGTTCCTCTGCCGGTCCATATGCCAAGTTGAGGGGAGGTTTGACAGCGCCGCACCATTGGTACTTGCATGTGCTCACACTCGGCTGGTTTTCGCAACTCCACGTGTGCTTAGGTCATTCTTGGTAACATAAAACTTCTTCTGGTGCTCTCTTGTGTCCATCTCATCTAGTTCAAAATGAGACCCCACAAAAATCGACGGCCCAGTCGCGGCAGAGTGTGTCACAAAGACTTGTGCAAGAGCTGCCAGTATGCGGAAGTATGGGGTCACGTTCCGCTCTCTACGGGAAAGATTGAAGCCCCAAGCCTCAGATGTTAAGTTTCCCTAAACATCGAACCAAATCATTTGTAGTGTGAGCTATCCTGTGTCCTAAGTAGTAGCGTTCTTGTAGCTACTAGCTTCTCCCTTGCTACCTACCTCTAGCTACTACTAACTACCTACCTGGACCTACCTGACCTCTACCGGCCTACCCCCTGCCCCGAGCTCAGTGGGCACTTTTTTCGTTTCCAAGGAGCTGAAGAATAGACGTAGCGATCCTCTAAAATGGTGAGGAAGTTCATTGCCCAAAGGACCAAAAACAAGGCCAGGGCCGCGCGGAATTCCAAGGCACGCAACGGGTTAGCCACCACGTGTTTTTCCAAGGTGGTGAAGAGAAAGCCCATGACCAACACACTGGTGTATACAAACAGGCATGTATCCAGTGAAATCAAGAATCCTTGGTCCACTTGGTGTTCGAGGTTCTCTCTTGAGTCAATTTTTGGATTGCGGTCGACCTTCGAACACCATAAAACCGGTGTAGAACATATGAAAAAGCCTGGCGAGCATCCAGACCCAGGATCGGTCTTGTCGATGTAGGCGTGATGCGCAACAGCATGCGCATCCATCTTTCTGTACCAAAGCATGATGCTGTAGAGAATGCAGCATGGGCCCACGACGCAAAACAAGAAGATGTAGTCCTAGGGGAAGTCAGTCTCACTGGCTCAATGCTTAGGGCCTAGGACCTAGCATGCAATGACTGGGTAGGCATATGTGGCTCAAACAACCTGAGCCACTCAGATCCACTGAAAATGACTGCTTGTACACGCTTGTGCCCACGGTATTTGTACGGATCCTGCAGGACTCCCCCTCTCGTGGTTCGATCTTCCAAGACACCGGGAAAAAGGAGCTCAGCCAACGACGGTTGTACCCTCTCCTTAGGGAAGAGCGACCGCCCAAACATGCTGAATCATGCAGGATCAAAGCCACCGCCTGTGGGCTTCCCAGGAGGACAAGTGAACCATAGTGAAACGACGATTCCCAAGGAAGCTTCTAGTTGCTAGAAAGCTTTCTTGTTACTAGTGCCGGTGGCCTCTAACCTAATAGCGATGGCCTCCACTTAGAATCTAGAAGCTTCTAGTTACTAGAAATTCTTAGAAAGCTTTATTGTAACTAAGAAGCAAGACATACTAAAAAGCTTCTTGTTACTACAGGTGAAACGATTCCCGTTTCCAGGATGCGCTTTGTCGGTTTTTGATATTGTCTGTGATAATGGCAAGTCGATGCCTTCAGCCGAGCCAGAAAAAGCTCCTAGTAGAGTCCTTGTTCCTAGTAGCGGTGCCCTTTGCTCCTAGTAGCGTCCAAAAACACTAGAGACCCAGCTTCGATCTCGAATCTCAATCACCCCACATACACCAAGGAAAGGAAAGGCACCCGGCAGTGCCACCGTTCGTTGAGAAAGCGTCTTGCTAGTCCAAGAGACCGGAGGCAAAAGCGGAACCAACATTGGAAGAGTCCGTGCACCACACCTTGATAGGGACAGCTCCCGTTTGACCAATGCAATGCTTCTTCCTTCGGCCCATGTTTAGTTGCCCAAAAGGTTCGCCATCAAGGCCACCACGTTCTGAAGACACCCTGCCTGCATCACCACTTGGGTCTTTCATCAGCTGCAGGTCTGCAGTTCTGTAATATTCCAAATCCTCCTCGGCCTGTCCAGAAATGTGTCTCCTCAAACCTCCAAAACTTCCCGGGTAAAAACAAACACCGTAAGGGAAACCGTGAAATTGCTTCTTATAAGTTCACCTCATGACTCATGACTTCTTCGTCCAACATGTAGATCTGGACGAATTTGAGCAAACCAGCAAGCCATTGATGGGTCAACTTTGAAACATCCAACTCCAACTCTTTAGGATCTATCTATCTCCATCTCGTTGTAGTAGGTTGGAGGCCATCGCTTCTTCCTATCTATCTATCTATCTATCTATCTATCTATCCTTCTTTCTATCTCCATCTCGTGCCAGGACTTGATGGAAGCGGTCGGCCTTTATGCTTCGAGGCAGTCCGCACAGTGTTCAGTTGAAGGAACTGTTCATTGATAGCCCCTGGGCCCAGTTAGATCACTACATATATTGTCTGCCTTTTCGGCCGACCTGACGACTCCCGAATAGTAGGCCTGTTGCATCAAATTTCCACACAAATGATTCAGCAGAATCACTTCCAGAATGCGCTTTGATATGAGGACATAGGTCATGTGGCTACCACCTAAGTTCAGAACTCGACAAAGATCTTGCCCAACTCCACTCAAGGAAGTTACCTGAGGAGCGGGCATGCAGGATCCAATTGCTTGGTAACCAGCCGCTGTTGCTCCTTAGAACAAATGACAGGCAAGGAACTCCAGAAAGGACCTCTGACATCGTAGAACCCGCATCAACCACCAATAGACCAATAGATAGACATGATCGTCAATGGACTGGCAGGTCTATATAGACCGATTCAGGAAGCACCAATGGTCAAGAAAACCACTGGGTTCACCCATGCCCACTTGTTCTGTTACTTGCTTTGATACTCAGCCACCCACTCATTGTGGGAAGCCTGGACCGATGTACCCTTTGCATCCATTTATCCTTGTTGGTAGCTCAACCCTTACTTTCCACTTCTCGATAGAGATGGCGGAACCAGCTGTTGGAGGGATCAATGGGTATGACAGTGCTGGATTTCAGCATGTCCGTGTGCTTGGGCACCTGATCGTAGCGCAAAAGCAAGGTCTGAGATGAGATGGCGAGGCCTGCATAGCCTTAGTGGCTGTGAACATGGCAGAATCAGTGACATCCCTAGCACATCACGCGAAAAAAAGAATGCGGCCACGTTTTTTGGTGAGTGTTGCCGTGCCAAGCTTCAGAACAAGAAAGCAGCTATGATGTAAATCACCAATCTTCCCAAAACTCGGGCGGCCAGAACTGAGCGCCTCGGATGCTCTTTTACTGGCTTTGGAATGGCCGCTTTTGCTACCTGCCCTTCAGCGATTCTGGAAGAATTGGTGCTATCCGAACTGCACATGGCAGCATCTTAAACAATGGAGCCTCAATGAAAAGGCGTGACTCTCAATTACTCTGAAGAGGCTGCCAAACCGTCCCAACAGGCTGGTGGGATGTTCTTGCATGGGATGCTCGCGACACTTGTTCTATATTCAATATTATATAATTAATGCTACGGCTAAAGACTGCTCAAAAGCAGGCCAAAATGGGCCCACTTGAATGGAAGAAACCTCCTTTCCGTTGGAGGAACCACACGATGGCACGTCCGTCACCAGTAGCGGGAGGCGAGCGAAACAGTCGCAGCACCCACCTATGTGACACTGCCATGGCATTGCCATAGGGCGACCCTCCAACCAACGGATGGACGGGGCTATCTTCCTTCTTCAAGCTTTTTCTGTTTGGAAGGGGGCATCTCTATTTTTCATACACAGCCCCGCGAGGCCGCGAGGAATGAGTCAATGATTAGCAAATCACCTCTGGCAACCCACTGCATCATTGGAAGGACATCCTGGGATTTTTGCAAACACTCCAAGACTTTCTTCTGATTGTTGTGTCATATCAACCACATCTCATCTCACGTCATCTCCATCTCTCGTCTTCATTTTCTCCACCGAAGCCTCGGGTTTTGAGTGGGTTTTGGATGGTGTTGGTCTATTTCCCTTCTTCCGGGGAGTCTATTTCCCTATTGTAACACCCACCCATTCGGACCTGCACTCAAAGACCCTGCCAAGGCGCCCAGGAGCGCATTGGAACGGCTGCCGTCCCGGTGGCTCACTGAGCTTCAAGAACCTAGTGAGCCACGGGTGCACGGCTGCAGCGCCGGGTCCAGGTCGAGGTGATCTCACTAGCGATGCCCTTTGCTCCTAGTAGCGATGCCAGGAGCCCCTAGTAGCGTCCAGGTCTGTAGTGATCTAATTTACTGGGTCCATATGTCTACAGGCTTACAACCACTTGGAGTCTAAGCACACTAATCACAGATACTGACGACAAAAAGGCACTGCAACAAGATCCAGTTTTCCAGTTTGGTCATGAGAAAAACTGCCTTGCGCTCTCGTGACTCTCGTGCACTTGTTCCGGGGGACGGAAACAGGATCCTCCAAGTTCGCCAGCGCAGAACTCGCTCGCAAGGTGTGCTCCGCCTCACAGCGAGGCCAGCAGAGCGGTCCCAAGTCAGCAGCTACACAGGTGTTGTTATCACGGATTGGTGCCTGGATGAACTCAACTGTTCAAGACTTCCAAATAAACAACCAAAAGCTGCTTCTTCTGAGCCTTGCCGTCTCCTCCATGATCGACCGCCCATTACCCACCGCGGGCGAGGTCGAGCCAAATGGCTCACAGTGGAGGGGAGGCGCCCGGGGAAACTTATCGGTTGACAGCCTACAGAATGACGGAATTTCATGAAGCCTAGTGCTCCATAGTTGCACTGGATGAGCAATGACAACAAAGCAGTATGGTGGAACTACTGGTGGAACTTCATGCATATTGCTCCTCGATCTCGCCATCTGTCAACACAACCAGGACATAGTACCTCCGCAGAGCACACGGCGAGCCGCAGTGCAAGTCAACCAGAAGCCACTAATCAGTTGTCCCTCCATGATTGCTGAGTGGCTCAGGGGGAAACCCAAAACATCTCCACCGACATCTCCCACAATCCCTAGCAGCCAATCCCTACTGTAGTTCAGGAAGTCCCGATTCTGACACGCGCAACCCCACGCCAATTCTGCACTCCCTCAACCTCCAATGGATTCCGTAGCTCACTTCATGTCTGGCATTCTCTCGTTCATCTTGGGGTTCTTGGGCTGTATGTATGGCCTGGCCATCGGGCGAACCCCGACAGCACAATGCGAGCCCCGGGCAAGCTGTCGCACTCTCACATTCGCGAGAACCAGAATCAGAGTCGTGTATCACACCCTTTTGCACCCCAGGCCTGCTCATGTCGGCTGCCAACTTCACCACATCCTGAAGGTGCAGGTCGAACATCTCTCTGGGCAATCGGACTCAAAAAGGAAAAAGAACTGGGAAACCTAATCCCCAGGGGCAAGCGCAGAGCGGTGGCAACGAACCGACTCTGGGTAACTTGAGAGAATCCAAATCGGAACAAATCACAGGCTTAAAGGGAGATTGTCCTGGCTGGGCCATGGGTGCTATTGATTTGTTTGTAGCGACTGGGTGGGGCAAACTCTCCACGTAGTCTTCACGACTCCAGCCAACCTACCGGTCCTCTCCAGCGAACCCAACAAGCAACCTGTCTTAACTGAATACATCCAAGAAATCAGTTGAAGCGCATTCCATGACGACCCTGGGATATCGGCTTCAACTCCTCTGAATACCGCCTGCCGGGATCAGTTTTGGCCAAGGATCTGCGAGATAAGACGGCCCATGGAGGTGGCAGACCCGCAAGGCCCTGTGATAGGCTTTCAGCATCCCTTCGACACCTCAGCCATGTGGGATGGAGTGGCTGTTAGCCGGTAGCGCTGGTAGCAGCCACGCGGCCTTCCACCTCTGGTTGGAAAAAATCCCCGGTCAAGGCAAAGCAGTTGGAGACCACCTGAACATCAGCAGTTTTCGAACAGCGGTGCAAGCAACTGCAAGTATGTCGTGCTTTAAAGTGCTGTTGCAAAAACGCCTGCAAACAAAACTTCGCAAGCCCTGCATGCATTACACAATGGGACACCAAATGAGGAACACATCGGCTCCACATCATCTGCTCTAAGTGTCGTCTATACCGCCTGGCCTTCCAAAACTTTACCGCCCTTTTACAAGCCAATGCGGTCCAGCTGCCGAATGGGTCGGGGGGATCTTGGCACCGAAGCCATAGATTGGATAGCAGTTGTCGTTGTCATAAACCGACATCACTTCCTGGTCGTTGCAGTCACAGCTGGCACGGCGGCAGGTAGCACGTGCCAGCAAAACAAACTCCCCTTGGATCCGGCCCACTGACCCTTCTGCGTCAGAACGCTCACCGGCATGTTAACGGGCCAAAGGGATTTACAGTAACTTTTTTCTCGTTCCAAGACCTTGACGCCCAAGCAGAACTCAGTTGCAAAATGCAAGCACAACCTATTTGAAGCGAAAGTCTCCAGCCAAAACAAAAGCAAAAATGCAAAACGGCTGCGAGCAATTAAATTGGACAGCAGCACAAATGCCTTCCCCCACGAACCAACCACAGTAAGGTATGACAAGTATCTCCCAGGCAACGGATTGCACTTGCGTAGGCCGTCTCTTCTTCTGTTGATACGACGCTATGCCTCTCCAGCGCACAGCAAGAAAAGGTCAAAGGGAGACTAGCACTGTACCACGGGAGATTTAGCATCCTGGTCGTGGTTAAGGTAACCCGGTCGTGGTAGAGTGCCAGTTTCGGTCAAAGGAAGGCGTGCGAAGCAACCCAAAAACCAACAAGTACAACGCAACCGAGAACTTCAAATGGGATGCGCCTTCACTCATTCGGTCCCACCCGGAAATCTAGAGTCCGAGGAGCATGGATTTGGGATTCGTCTGTCCCAGATTGGAGCGCGTCAAATCGACGGCCACCATGAGCTGAAGTTCCAGCCCGCCACGCAAATAGTCCAGGAAGGTGTAGTGTCCTTGGTGGGGCTATTCATGATTGGCGTGCAACTTCTTAAAGAACATGGTTGATGAGAAAGCATGTAAAACTGATCCAGCACCTCGACAGAAAAAGGCTGCCCCATCGCTGGAAGACACCTGAGGGTGTTTTGCCTGAAAGGACCCCCTGCTAGTTCTACTAGGACCGAGGAACACCACGAACCAACAGCTGCATCTGCTGCCAAATGTCGCTTGAAGCGATGGCCATCCAAGGTCAGCTGCCCGGCCAAGGGCCCGAAAATGCCTTTACCTCAGCACCCGCCGTGCAACGAGGCCGGGCCGTGTAAGGGCGAATTGGGATTGGTGAGCCCACCGATGGGGATTCCCACCTATGTGGAACCCATGGAACCCATGCTATCTGGCTATCTTTCCTGGTGTCTTTCACCTATGAGCAAGGACGCTACTAGTAGTACTACTATGAGGATTGTCTTTCACCTGAAGAATGGATTCCTCTTTGAGTTGGTGTCCTATGTGTCCTAACCGCGTTGCACTGTCCAAACATGTCCAACGCCAAGCGGCTCTTGGAGCCCGAAGAGGTCACCGACTCTCTTGCTCCAGAGGTCTGACTCTTGCTGGAATGTCCTCGGGTCTGCGGAGTGTCACGTCTATGTCTGAGTCTGTCTGAGTCTTCAAGTCTAGAGACTGTAGATGACCATAGTACTAGATGATACTACATGTTATACAGTACTACATATTCATACATATTCATATTCTTGGTGTGCCCGTGGGTATCCACAGAATCTTGGAGCCATTTTCAGGACTGCTCGGACTCTCGCTGGTGCGAATGTCCGTCGAACCTCACCGCCAAAGGAAGCGCCTCCGTTCAGCCAGAGTGTCCAGAGATCTGGGAGGTGCTCCTCCCATGTGAGGAGCTTCTTCCATGTGATGAACTTCTCCCATGCGAAGAGCTCCTCCAAGGAACACGCTAGTAAACGAAAAAGGCCATGATGGTCTAGTGGCTATGACGCATCCCTCATGCTAGGCGGACAGGTGGGCCACTACCCCCCCTGCAGTTCAGGGGATGAGCTAGACTGTTGCAAAACAACAACACGCCAGTTTTAAAAAATCATAGACCGACCAGTGACTAAGAGCTACATTGGCAAATTTTGCCCAAACGTATAGCTTCGCATGATGATGATGATGATGATGATGATGATGATGATGATGATGATGATGATGATGATGATGATGATGATGATGATGATGCCACAAGGAGAACATGGAACAAACATGGAACAAACATGGAGCAAACAGTGGAACAAACTATTATTATTGTGTTCGTCCATAGTTAGAAGGCTTCGGCTTGTCTCTCCGGAGCCCTCTCCCTCTCTCTCACAGTCCTATGCCCACCACCGGAGATCATCGAGCTGGTCCTGCATGAAAGGATCACATGCCGTTTGTCTGCCACAGAGTCCCCACACATTCCCCGCTAGCCCGAACGCATAGCACCGAGATAACTAATCTTCCAAACCCCTCTCCCCAAAAAGCTCAAATTGTTTGTGCAGTAGAGGGTCTAGCAAGCTCCGTTGTTCACTCAGTTGTCACAGCAGCTTGGCCAGACGTTCAACAAAAGGAATGAAAAGGAATGCCTTCACAACTCTGCTGGTTGAAAAACTCAAAAGAGAACGACTGTCTAATCGCGAAAGTGAATCCACAAACGCAAAGTCCTGGGCCCTCCACCAGACAGCATGGAGCTAGCCCTGCCACGGCCGGGCTGTTGGCATTAATTACAGCATAACAATGAACGCCTGGCACTTTTCAAGTCATTCTCACACTGCCGAAGGCCCTTTGTTATCTTTGTTTAACTAAGATGGGAATGGAATCGCATGAGCGGAAATCACTCAGGGCAGCCAAAATCCAGTGTCCCACATCATTGCTGCATCACTCCTCGCGCCCAGTCGAGATCCAGTCCGCCCTCCGCTGTTTTGGCTTGCGTGCGTGCTCTTCCTGACGGCAGGGTGTGGGATCTGGGAACGTTTCCTTGCCAAAGAAAGGTCATGGCCAGTGATGGGGCAAACGCAAGTCGGAGATAGTCGGAGTCGGAGACGTTGTAAATGATGGCAGGTTCCAAAGTGGTCCCCCCCAAAAAAACTGAGGCCCCTGAGGCTTTCAAATCTGTCGTCATACGCTACCAGATCTCACAATAACACTGATCGGGAAACCTGTCACGTTTTCTTGATTCACATGACGTGGAAAACGTGCATGTTTGAAGAAGCTACTAGGAGCAAAGGGCATTGCTGCTAGGAGCAAAAACGCTACGATCGGGGCTCCTGGCCGTACTACGAACGGAGCATCCTTATTACTAGTAACAAGAAGCTACTAGTAACAAGTGCATCGCTTCTAGTAACAA